CCTCCTCCCCGCCAGCTGTCGGCGGCTCGGCCGGCCCAGCGCAGGCGCGTTGGACCGGGGCGAGGGGCCACGGGGGCCCCGCTGCAGATCGGGGTCTTGCCGCGACCTCGAGCATCCCTGGCTGGCACAGGGATGATGCGGGATCAGCCTTGGTCCGGCCGAAGAAGGGGGGCTCGGAGCAGCCCCCTTACCCCAAGGCTTTGGGGCACAGCTCCCCGAGGGGTGGCAGGGTTGTGGGGTGGTGGCAGTGTCCTTGGGGGGTCACCAGGCTTTTGTGTTGCCTCTCGTCGAGGGCTGTGGGGCAGAGCTCGTTCCATCCTGCTCCGGGGCTTGGGCTGTGCCCCCCGGCCCCTCCTCTGCTGCCCCATGCGGGCACCCAAATTGTCCCATCCTACCTGCTGCCAGGCATCCCCTGGCCCCGGGGCATCATCCAACCCTATGGGACATCTCCAAACCCCAAAGGCCTCATCCTGACCTTATGGGGCATTCCCTGCTCCCAGTAGCATCATGCAACCCTATGGGGTGTCCCCACACCATGGCGGCCTCATCCTGATCTTATGGGGCATCACCCCAATGATCCCGGGGGCATCATCCAACCCGATGGGGCATCCTTGAGCCCCAGGGACGTCATCCTGTCCCTGTGGGGCATCTCCTAGCCCCAGGAGCATCATCCTGACCCTGTGGGGTATCCTTGAACCCCAGTGGCATCATCCTCACCCTATAGGGCATCCCCGGGTCCAGGGAGCATCATCTTCACCCTATAGGGTATCTCCTAACCCCAGGGACATCATGCTGACCCTATGGGGCATCCTCTGGCCTCAGGGGCATCATCCTCACCCTATAGGGCATCCCCGGGTCCAAGGAGCATCATCTTCACCCTATAGGGTATCTCCTAACCCCAGGGACATCATGCTGACCCTATGGGGCATCCCCTGGCCTCAGGGACATCATCCTCACTCTATAGGGCATCCCCAGGTCCAAGGAGCATCATCTTCACCCTATAGGGTATCTCCTAACCCCAGGGACATCATGCTGACCCTATGGGGCATCCCCTGGCCTCAGGGGCATCATCGTCACCCTACAGGGGCCCCGCTGGTCCCAGGGTCATCCCTCTGCCCTACACCAGCTCCTGGGCCCCGGGGTGTTGTGGGCAGGGCGGGCAGGGCAGGCAGGGTGCCCAGCCATCCCCAGGGTGGACACGAGGCCTGCGGGTCCCCGCTCGGGGCCAGGGGCCGCGGGGAGGGCTGAGCGGGGCCGACGCCGCCTTTGTGCCTTCCCTTTGTGACCCGCGATTCACACGTTTGGGCTTTTATCTGGTGGCCGGGAAGGAGGAGGGCGAAGGGGGCAGGAGAGGGGGGAGAAGGGCCGGGGAAGCAGGAGGCAACGGCGGGAAACGGCGTCTCCTTTTGTGCGACCGCAATGGGGACAGGGACCTGAGGACACCTCGTCAGTGCGTTTTGCCATCCCGGTGCGGACATCCATGGGCAGCGTGACCGAAGGGCTCCACGGTACCCGGAGCATCCTGTGGGCTGGGATGTCTGCATCCCCCTTCCCCGACGTTTGGGTCAACAGTGGGGCTGATCCCGTGGGATGAGGAGCCCCGAGCATCTCCCTGGGCACATTTCCACCCAGGGAGCCGTTTTTGGGGCGCTGCTCCCCATGGCGTCCCCAAACCCACCCTCGCAGGTGGGTGGGACGTTTGGAGCGGGTCTGGCTGCACCGTCCCCAGGGATGCTGCAGAGAGCCGTCCCAGGCGGAGCATCGCGATGCCCGCAGGGTGGGGGGACGCTTCCCGGGGCTCACAGGGTGCTGCCACAGCCCTTCCCCACCGCCACCACTCTCTCTGAGCCCAGTTGGTATCCAGCTGCCCCTCCAGAGCCCCCCGAGTTCCCAGCTGGTCTGCCCAAAGCAGCCCCCAGCCTGCTCTCCCCCCACTGCGCTGCCTCCCCCCACGTTTTCCATCCCGCGGAGGAAATATTAACGGGGACGGAGTCTCTCTCGTTGTGTTTTTACCCTCTGTGGCCGTGCTCTGTGCCAAGAGGCCGGGCAGGAATTTGGCTTGGCCAAGGCCGGACTTTGCTTTCAGGATGATGCTCGGATGAGGGCTCCGGGGGAGATGGGGGATGCCGAGGGCATGGGATGCTGTTCGGTGCCCCGGCAGCCCCGAGCAGCGAGGGATGGCCGTTATCCCCATCCTACAGTGGGGAAACTGAGGCACTGGTGTCCCCCACTGGCTGTGGGACGGTCCTGGAGGAAGCGTTTGCGCCCTGGCTGGGACCCAGCCACCGCGGGAGCCGGCAGCCGCGGGAAGCGCGGGCGGCCGACCCACCATGACACGGGGGCAGAGGGCACCGAAAACAGCACGAAAACCTCCGCGGCAGAGAACGAGCAGGATAACAGCCCTTCCCGTCACAGCAGAATGAGCTGGTTTGGCCAAATAAACAGATTGGAAGAAAAACAAGAGGTTCTGGTGCTGGACAGAACGCCGCCGGATGCTCGGCGCATTAAATGCCATAATTTAGCCGAGAGGAATGCGCCGGATTGCAGCGGGGTCGGAGCAGCTCTGCTCCATCCCTGCGGCGTACGGAGGATGCCGTGGGCAGCACAATTCCCTTTGCACTTCGTTTATTACTTTTCCAGCCTCATTTTTCCTCCTCCGCTGGGTTTCCCACTCCTTCCCCCTGCTTCGCTCTCCTCCTGCCCCCCCCCAAAATCCGGGGCTGGATGGCTGGGGGGGGAAGGGGGGCGATGCTGACATCCGCAGTGTGGAGCATCCCACCTCCCCCAGGGCCAGATCCTGCCCTCGCACCCAGCCTGGCCCCAAACCGAGCACCAGCCCTTTGGCAGCGGAGCGTAAAATAAGCGTCGGGGGATTTTTTCTCGAGGGAAAACATGCGTTGCGTTATCGAAGCCGCCAGGCAGGCTCGCAGCAGTGAGCTCACAGGGTCTTATCACAACCGCATCATTTTATACACGCGCACATATGTATATTTAATTTAACTCCGGAGCCCGCAGCACTCTTTGGAAACGGTTTCTTGGCAAAGAAAAGCACGTTACGGTCAGCGGGGGCACCAAATACCCGGCGGTTCGGCCTGGCTAGCGTTATTTGAAAAGGTGCTCTTGAAAAAAAATATATTGAAAAGGTATTAAAGCCCACTCTGACGTGTGCCGTGAGCCCGGCTCGGGGGGTTTTGGGGGGCTCG